GCTCAATCAGCCTAAGGTCAGCTCCAAGCCCCTATGCTCAATCAGCCTAAGGTCAGCTCCAAGCCCCTATGCTCAATCAGCCTGGCTTCAGGAATGTGGTGCCGAACAAGGGCGCTGATGATTTCCACATCCCCTATAGAGGGTAAGGGGAACGTATTTCACTGCTTGTTGTGTTGTTTGGCACCACAATGGCTCATGTATCAACAACTCGACTCATGTATCTCTACGTATCACTGCACTTAAGGGGACCTTTCAAATCATTCATTTCATAACACTACATAATGCTAAAGCATATCAATTAGAGTATCCTGAAATAATGAATGTAATAATTCATGGCATATTGAGAAACAGAATACAGCAAACTAAAAACAAAATCCACATACAAGTTTAGGATTTGTGGTCATCCATCTATCCATCCATCTTCCATAACTGCTTATCCAATATATGATTGCTGTGAGCCTAGTCAGTCATGGGTTACTCATACGTAATCACTAGTGATGGCCAAACGAAGCCTTGTTTTTTTAACAGAGGGCACCATCTAGCAGGGTAAGAAAATAGAGCAAATGGTTAATGAAGCTTTATTTCACCATTACTAATAATAATGTACTATGGTCAGTTTGCCTAGCTACATGTTTTTGGACTGTGCTCTTCTTTGTACAGTGAGCACCATCTAGTGGAGCCATAAAATACAGCAAATGGTTCATGAAGGTTCATTTGGCCATCACAAGAATACAGTATATAAATATAGCCTTGTAGCTTATTTTTGTAGTCTTTAATTCGATTCAATTCAATTCAACTTTATTGTGATTACAGTATACAGTTACACATATACATACATCCTAGAGCTGATGCAAGAAGTTAAAAAATACAATAGTAGAATAGAACTTTACAACAGCAGATCAAAAAATAAGTTAATAGAATAATAAATAAAAGAATATATGTACATAAAATTTTATATAAAACAAACAATATTGTACATCAAGTATGAAAATGCAAATGAGCGATTTCTTGGCAGCATAAGGGGTAAATATGGTAAAGTAAGCACAACAATACCATGATTACCGGGCCGGTACTTTAGTAGGAGGTCCCAAATTGATTGACGGGATCAACCCCAGACGTGGGTTCATCAAGTATGACCACTTTGGTACCGCCCATGAAGGCCATGGACACTGACAGCTTCCTTTGCAAACCCCCTGGTGAGTTATACAGGTCAGTTTCAGGGCATGTCTGTCTCGGCACAACAGACTTCAGAACTGATCCATTATGCATTTGTACACTTGACAGATTTGTACATTACTTAAATGACTGTAAAGCAATTTGCAACAAATGTGCAATATAAAATGCATTGTGATTGGCAGATTGATTTAACTAACACATTGCTCAGATTCACCAACCTCAGAAGTTCTGCACCTCCTCGTTCCTCTTGTGAAACAGC